CTAAGCAGAACCTGGGAAGGTGTGAGACACTAGTTAGCAGTTCCTGTCTCCGTTGGTAAGTTTCTTGTGAAAAGCCACCTGGTCAGTCTGCACTTGACCGCATTCCGGGGAGTGCAGTGGAGTACAGCTGCAATTCTGCCCTCCTCAGTCCTCCCTGTCCCCTCTGGTCCTCCACCACCTCCTTGAAACTGGTTAACTTGGGTGTCTAGCAGTTAGAGGTAAAAGTAAACTCTATCCAGAAACGACTTTATTGTATGTCAAATCACCCCTGGATCTGGGCTGTTCTGTGGAGAGTAAAAGGAATTGATAGATGGAGAGAAGCACAAAACATCCCCAGACAGGCCTCCTTCAGTTAAGGCTTGAGTATCTACAATTTGTTGCTCACCAGTTGACAGGGTCTCTGCTCCAAGAGGCCTGGCCAGAACATGTAGAGAATACTGTGATTTGTGCCTTTTCTAGACCAGCCTCTTCCAGGATATCTTACAGGACTGTCAGGGGACTAACTCCAAATCACTTCCCAAGAGAGTTTTCAGTTGGGTTATTCTTACTCATAGAGTGCTTATGTGGCCCATGACAATGGCAGGCAAAAGATGAGTCAACCCCTGGTGAAGAATTTGTCTATTCTGGGGGAGTTTGCCTGGGTACAGATTAAGGACAGGAAAATCACTTCCATCTTAGCATAAATCAAGCACATCCTGTACCCGAACAAAGTGTTTTCTACATCCATGCTTCTCACCTCTTGATGAATATTAGAATTATCTGCAGAGAGTTTAAAACATGCTATGGCCCAAGTGCCACTGAGACGACTTTATCAAAACTACTGGTGTCTTCTGGAAGCACGCTTAGAACCAGTGGCCTGCAAAATCATAGAGAATGTGGAGAACTCAGCTCAGAGAGAAACCACACAGCAATGGTTTTGCCCAGCCTCTGTGGTCTGACCAGAGATCACCCAGGGTCCTGTTCAAGGGAAAGAATATTTATTAAAAAATAGAGTAAAATAAAATCGATTCCCATGTATCAGCGCTTGTTTTAAGAACAATGTGCTAAGTTACTCAATCTTCACAACAACCAATGGACAATGGAGAAGACAAGTTTGTTCAGTTTGTACATGCAGAGCAGGAGCTGAGCTCAGACAGCAGGCTCCCAAGCCCATGCACCAGATACTGCACAGTTCTGAATGCACCAACTACATTTTAACTTTCACCAGGTAGAAAAGCAAAGACTGATCATGAGATTACTGATACAAAGGGTCTAGGAACTTTGACAACCTGGGGCTCCATCATCAAAATCTTGAGTCAAGCAGAGTCCATAACTAGAAAAAGAATATCCCCTGGCTACGCATCCCTCAGCTTCTCTGGGGAAGAAGAAATGGAACTTGTCAACTTCTCATGTATTAGTTATATCTTGAAAACATGTATGTTTATATCAACTATTCAAAGCAAACAGCATATATCCTTGTGATCCCAGAGAGTCGATTCTATCATTCTCAACAGATCCTTTGTTTGTTGTCGCCAAGACCCAGTTCCCGAACTGCTCTGGTTTCTGTTGCATGGTTATATGGGGATCCAGTGCCCCAACACAGGGCACCCAGCAATGGGAAGCTGTAACTCAACAGAACAGCACCCACACGGTTCATTTCCTGTCTGGGTCTGCTGCACTTCATACTGCCTCACACATCCCAGACTGCCATGAGCAAGCAAAGGCATAAGAGAGAGAGGAAAAAAATTAAGCTCTCAATTTGGGTACATGAGCTGTTCAGTTCATGGGTGGTATTTGGTAGTCCTGCCAGTTACACAATCATCCTCCATTTTCTGCTGGCTATTCATGAAGAACCTTTGTGCCTGGTTTGCATGTCTGACCTGGGCCTGGCCTAGTCTTTGTTCCATTGTACTCAAAACGTAGGGTTGCTAGATAAAACACAGGACACTCAGTTAAATTTGAATTTCAGTTGAAGAATTTTAAAAAAAGTATGTGTTCTAAATATTGCATAGGACATATTTATACTAAGAATTATTTGGCTTTGATCTGAAATTTGAATTTAACTAGGAATTCTGTTTTTATCTGCCAAATTTTATAACTTTCCCTAGAAGGGAAGGTGTTTCTATGGTCAGGCCCTACTCTGTGGGTATCATTTGCTAGTAAAGTTAGAAAACAAGATGGAGTTGTCCATGGTGGTACATGTTTGAAGTTCTGCTGGGACTATTTGGCGCCTTCTGGATTATGGGCCAAGTTAAAGATAATTAAGAACAGATGTGTCCCCAAATGTGGCACTACTTACATGTTAGTACAATGATCTTTAAAGACTCTTTATTGAGCCTCAAATTGAAGTTTAGTGAACAATTGCCAAAAAATGTGAGGTTTCCCACGCTACATGTCACAAGGAGAACTGCTTTTAAGCAGAGTTTCTCAGTCCTATTAGCATGCCTACAACATCCTGCAATTAGATGACACAGTTGGTTGCTGTATTTATCTTAAGGAAGTTTATGACCTCTTGGAAGGAAATTATAAACTTCCTCTTTATCCAACCTTTGGATAAGCAAAAACATAGATGCTTTGGTTTATACTGAAGGGAAAACCATTCTCCTAGAAGCTATAGTTACATCCTAACAGCATTCCTCATTTAGGTAGAAGTAATTATAAAGACAATTTAAACATTGCTGCATACTTCACTCTCCCAGGTAGACAACACTGGTGCTTGCTAAATTCATTATACTCCATATTCTAACTAGATCGTTTTAATTCTAATTCTAATGTCATAGCCTCACTTTTTTATTGTATTCGTCATTTTTTGTTCCTTTGTTTTGTTGTTGTTTTTGGTTTGGTTTTTTGAGACAGGGTCTTGCTCTTTCATCCAGACTGGAATGCAGTGCTGCGATTATGGATCACTGAAGCCTCAGCCTCCTAGGATCAAGTGATCCTCTCCACTTCTGTCTCCCAAAGCACTGATATTTTTCCTTTTCTACTCTCTATTATGTTTTCTGTTCTATGGGATGACTGACTAACGGGACAATATTGGTTTAAGTGACCCAGCCAATGCTATTGTTCTGATAAGCATTCACTAATAACACTACGTTCACTGTAAAGAATTTTTTATATTCTGTTAATGAATGGTAACATATTTATTGACTGCTATGTACTAGGCATTGTGTCAGGTGCTTGGATACTGTTCACATTTAATTCTCACAAGTGTTCTGTAGTTAGAAACCATCCTGAGCCCAATTTCACACCTGTGGAAACCAAGGCATAGTACTTATAATTCCTGACTACAGTGCAAACCATGCAAATTAAATAGATGTTAAAATATAAATATCAATATGTAAGTAAAAAATTCTTCAGAAATAATTCTTAATTTTACCTGTCCTGGACTCCTAGATCAACAGCTTCAACTGAATTAAGTTGTTCTAAATGCCCAAATCCTTCAGCTGGTTTGTATCCTCTAGACAAAATTCTGATTCCTGCTCATCACTTTAAAAATCACTTCTGTCACAGAAGATGAGGTAGCACTTTCTAAAATGAGTTTTGCCAAATACTGCATGTTCTCATTAAAAGTGGAGCTAAAGACTGGAAACACATGGACACACAGATGGCAGCAGAGGACACTTGGGACTTCTTGGTGGGGAAAGGGAGGGAGGGAGGCAAAGGTTGAAAAAATTAATTATTGAGCATCTGGATGATGGGATCATTCATACTCCAAACCTCAGCATTACACGATATACCCATGTAACAAAGCTGTACATGTACACCCTGACTCTAAAATAAAAGCTGAAATTATGTTTAAAATGAGTTTTAGTGACTAATAGTTTCCCATAATGTTAATAAGTACTGCCTGAAAAAGGAGATCGGTGGTCGAAGGATGTGCTTTGTAAACAAAGTTAAATGGATATCTTTACTCAAAGACTTAGAAATTTTTCTCTGTGCACGTGTACATTCTATCAACTTGCTAAATAGCAAGCAATCCCCAACTTAGTCACATGCAACAATAACCATTTGGTCATATTTATGGGTTTAAGGTTTAGAAACACAGACACAGCAGAGCAAGACGGCTTCTCTATGCTCCATGATGGGTGAGGACTTGTGGTGGGGAAGACTCAGAGTTAGAGGGGACTCAATGGCTGGTGCCTGCATTCATCTGAGGACTCCAATATTCATCATGTGTGGTATCTGGGCTGGGAGGAGTCAGAGACTAGGATCATCACTAGGAGCACCTATGCCTGGGCTCCCAGCAGCATGATGTCCTCAGGTGTTGGTGGACTCTGGGTAGCTGGATGCCTTGCAAGGCCCTCGGGGCTCCAAAATGGAGTGTCCAGTGAGCAAGGCAGCAGCGGCTTTCTGCCCTGACTTCAGAACACATGCAGCATTGGGTCATCCATACTCTATTGCTTACGGACATGTCACAGTCCCACCCAGATAGGTGGGAGGTGACATAAACCCTATCACTCAAAAGGAGAAGAATCACATTCTCACATCAGAAAAATGTGGTAAAGAAGCTATCATTGTAACCATCTCTGGAAAATAAAATATGATCCTTTATAGATAGTTCAATAACAATGCTTTCCCCGTTGTACTTGGTATGAGTCCATCTTCCTCCTGAGGAACAGAATCCAGCCTATTTGTGTCCCAGGGAGTCCAGGTTAGGAAATTCTGGCGTAGTACATGTAAACTGTCAGGTTGGGAGGAAGCTTAGGCAGATTCTCCTTAGAGCATAGAGCCATAGAATGTGGCTTCTGGACCAGACCTCATGAAAGGTTGTCATGATAAAATTAGACAATCTTTTCATTTTCTTTCCCTCCTGTAGTGCTGGCAATGCTACATGAGGGAAGATGTTGTCTGGGGTTGAATGTGAGGGGTCTGTACTTCTATCTCTCTATTCTTTCACAGCAGATAGGATTAGAAGAGTTTATAGGTTCTCCAGTAGACTGTTTTCCCCAGTATAGAAATTTCCTCTATAGGATTTCTGACAGATAATAACTCAGCATTTTTTTTCTTGCTCTGTCACCCAGGCTGGAGTGCAGCAGTGCAATCTCAGTTCACTACAACCTCTGCCTCCCAGGTTCAAGAGATCCTCCCACCTCAACCTCTTGAGTAGCTGGGACTACCAGGTATGCATCACCACACCCGGTTCTCTCTCTCTCTCTCTGTATGTATGTATGTATATATATGTATGTATGTATGTATGTATGTATTTAGTAGAGATGAGGTTTCACCATGTTGACCAGGCTGGTCTCAAACTCCTGACCTCCAGCAATCCACCGACCTTGACCTCCCAAAGTGTTGGGATTATAGGCCTGAGTCACCATGCTCAGCCAATAACTCAGCTTTTGAGCAACTATCCTCAGGGCCAGTAAACCCTTTATATTAAACTATTATCATAAAATTACAAAACAAAATGTACCATTTTAGCCATTTTTAAGTGTCTAGTTCAGTGGCACTAAGTGCATTCATGCAATTTTGCAATCATCATCACTGTCCATCCCCAGAACCTTTTCATCTTCACAAAATGAAACTCTGTCCCCATTAAACATTAACTCCCCATTTCCTTTCCCTTATCCCCTGGCAGCCCTCATTCTACTTTCTATCTCCATAAACTTGACTACTAAGGACCTCATATATGTGAATCATACAGTTCTTACTCTTTCGTGACTGGAGATTTCACTTGGTATAATGTTCTCAAGGTTTATCCATATTCTAAATGTCAAAATCTCCTTCCTTTTAAGGGTGTGGAATATCCTATTGTATGAATGCCCCACAATTTATTTGTCTGTTCATCTATCCATGGACACTTGGGTTGCTTCCATCTTTCAGCTATTGTGAATAATGCTGCCAAGAACATGACTATACAGATATCTCTTTGAAACTCTGCTTTCAATTCTTTTGGGTATGCCCAGAAGCGAAATTTCTGCATGGTATGGTAATTCTATTGCTACTATTTTGAGGAATCACAATACTGTTTTCCATAGTCACTGCCTCATTTTACATTTCCATCAGCAATGCACAACAATCCCAGTTTTTCCACATCCTCTCCAACATTTATTATTTTCTTTGTTTCTTTTTGATAAGAGCTACCCTCAAGGGTGTAAAGTAGCATTGTGGTTTTAATTTCTATTTCCCTAGTATTAGGGTTATTGAAACCACAGTACCAGCTCAAATTGATGCAGCCCTGGCTTGTGCAATGGGAAAAGGCTTTCACCGAATTGTTAACACCACCTTCCCAGCAGACCGGCTGCACTGGCACCAAGTGGGATTAGTTAGAAATGCAGTAAAAGCTCAACCCACCACTCAGATGGGGGAAGACAGATGTGAGTGTTGTTTCCTGTCTTCTTGTGGGATGATTCACTATAAAGCTTTTTCTTCTCTCAGAAAACAGTGCCATAGGATCAGCTTCAATACACATCAAGGATAAGCCTCTTGCTTGGTCATAAAAGTGACCATCTTTTATGTCCTAATTGCCATTTACGTATTTTCTTTAAATAAATATATATTCAAGTCAATTTCCCATTTTTTAATCAAGCCGGTTTGTGTTGTTGATTGCAGGGATTATTTATATGTTTTGGGTATCAATCCCATATCAGATGTATGATTTGAAAATACTTTCTACCATTCTTTTCATTCCACTGATGGTGCTTGCTGATATATAAAAAATTTTAATTTTAGTGAGGTCTAATTTATCTTTCATTCTTTCATTGTCTGTGCTTTTGGCATCATCCAAAAAAATCCAAGAAATTATTGACAAATCCAACATCATGAAGGTTTCTCCTATTTTTTTTCTAAGAGTTTTATAGTTTTAGGTTTAACCTTTAAGTCTTAGGTATATTTTAAGTTAACTTTTGCATACAAGGCGAGATAAAGGTCCAACTTTGTTCTTTTATATGTGGATATTCACTTTTCCCAGCACCATTTGAGAAATAGCCAGTAAACTCTTAACCACACAATTTTTCTGTGGCCAGAAACTCTTTTACTCAAAGTATTTACTCTCCCTTCTTTGAAAATATATCACAATTTTCAGCTGAGATTTCTACTGGATCACCAGTCTCTCCTGCAGGTAGGCATTGACACGTGACTAAAATCATACCAGTAAAACATAAGCAGATGTGCACATGTACCTCTAGAAAGGCTAATTACAAAGAGTACACTTGGCGTGACACAAACCTTTTTATCTTTCACTGCTTCTGCCATCAGTCTGGAATCTGCATGTCATGAATACTTACAGTAGTACCTTGAACAAGGAAATGACCGTGAGCTAAATGACAGGGTGCTGGTAGCCCAGGTCCCTGCAGACAATGTGGAGCTGCCATATCAGCTTTGAATCACCCTGTGACATTAAATTCCATCATGTTTGAGCCACTCTCAATTTATGTTTTCCTGCTGCACGCAGATGACCCTAACCTTTTGTAAGGTTAATTTATGTGTTCTTTATAAGGCACATATTTAAAGTACACATTTGTATGAGTTTCGGCAGGTATATATTTCTGTAAAACCACTGCCACATTCAAACTCCCAAATATTTTCATCATTCCCAGAGGATTTTCTGTCATTATTTGCAATTCCTCTCTCCCTCTGTCCCAGAACCCAGGCAGTCACTGATCTTGTGATTTTTTTGGTCACTATAAATTAGTTTGCCTTTTATAGTTTTTACCTAAGTGGAATCATACAGTCATATTCTTTTGCATCAGGTTTCTCTCAACTGGCATAATGATTTTGACATTTATCTATGTTGTGTGAATCAACAGTTTGTTCCTTTTTAATGCTGAGGGTTATCCATTCTATGGATATACTACAATTTATCCATTCACTTCTTGATGAATATTTGAGTTGTTTTCAGTTTCTAGCGATTGTGAATAGAGCTTTTATTAATGTTTATATCAAAATCTTTGCAGACATATAACGTGTTTTCCTTCCTCTTGGGTTTTCTGGAGGAGTGAAATAACTAAGTTTTATCATAGGTGTGTGCTTAAGCTTTTGAAAAATTATCAAAGTTTTCAAAGTGGCAGCACATTTTTGTTATCATCCGTGTGTGTGTGTGTGTGTGTGTGTGTGTGTGTGTAAAATAGGGAACTGGCTCAATGGATGCAGTCCAGTATAATACACCTGCCACCAGCTAGCTGACTGTTCACCCTCAGAAATGATGCCATCTGGGAGGCTCAGTGCTTGTCTCTGCTGTTGGCAGATCAGACACTCCACAGACTATATCCAGATCGGCCTTGGTGAGTGGAAGTCCGTGTTGCTGAGTCCATGTATAACTTACATCCCTGCCACCATTGCCACTTTGTTCATTCATGAGCCCATTGAAAGATGAAAGTGTAGCTGGGGAAAGATTGAGTTGACTGTTATTTACAAAATGAATCATATTATCCACTGGATTATTAAAGAAATCCTCTCTTAAATGCAGAAAAATGGTAGATCACAGTAGAAATTCTATCCTATAATTTAGAAAAACACATTTGTATCATTCTTCAAATTTTTCACTAAAGAGTAAGAGACATTGCCCAAGACAGAATCAAAATGTTCACACACACCTGGACATCTGGTCACCTTTGGCCCTTTGCACTTCCCTCGAGGACACTTGTTCTGACCACTCCTTCCCTCATCAGATGCCTTGGGAAGCCATGACTCCCAGCTTTATTCTGGACTACAGAGAACACTAGTCAGGAGTTGGAGGCAAAATCTTTCCAAAGAACCATGTCAACAAATAGTCTACCCTTCTTCAATAAAAGCCAATTTCTATTTATAAGGCAAACATGCTTTCTAAAAATTGAGACTGTAAGCAGGGAGGGTTACGACATTTATTATCCTGGTGACTTGTGGTCTTATCCTGATGCTCTGATGTGGTTCCTCATTGCATTCAACAAAACGGCACTGAACCACTCCTGAACTCTTGTACCTCTGCAAGGTAATATGGATTCAGTCTACTAATTTTATAGTTCCTCCCCTTGGAGAGGTTCTTGGTTTACTGGATCAATCAGACATCTAGAGAACAACATAATCAAACAAAACTGAGTACCATTTGTTCCCCAGTTTGTTTAAAAAAAAAAAAAAAGTTTAACAGTTTTATTGTTTTTTTTTTTTTTTTTGAGGGGTGTATGGAATAAGCAGTGTGTGTATACTGACCTCAGCCATGACTCTCAAGTCTCTGGTGAACCAGCCCCTGAGGCCCTCCCTTTTATCCAGTGATGATGGATGTTTTCCTGGTGACCAGTTAACCTGTCTCTACTGCATTGGACTGAGCGTGGGCATCCTGGCTGCCCATGTCCTAACTGACACAGCTACTCGTCTACCACTGCAGGGCCTTCCCTCCATCAGTGTCAGCACATTAATATTAGTCCTAGGCTGAACTTTCCCATGTTTCTCTCCTCCAAAGGGGCACACAGACATTCTAAGCACTTCCACGTCCACCTGACTTCAACCAGAATTGTCTGCGGACTAAGGTAGCTAAGATGTAGAGGGAGAAGCATGGTCCTTAAACCAGGCTGATCTAGTTCTTATTGAAACCACTTACCAGTGCTGTCATCTTGGGTCAGTTACTGTACTTTTTCGAGATGAGTTTCCTCTTTGATAAAATGAGGGAAATAATATTCACCTTAGAGGGATGTTGGAAGGATTGACTTAAATCATTACTACACAGTGTGTGGCACAGATCTGTTGCCAATCAAGGTCATTTAGTAGATGTTGCCTCTTTTGAGAGGCAAAGTGATCCTCCAGGTCAGGGCAGGTCCTCTCCTCTAGATTTAGGTACACTCTGAGTTTCCATTCTTCATTTAAGAGATTCGGTAGTATTAGCTTTTCTACTGGACTATGTAAAGTCTTTGGCAAGGATTATGTTGCTTTATCTCTTAAGTACCTAGCAAAATACTTAGCACATAGTACAATTCTGCAAAACCAAAATATACTAAAAATTCTAGGCTAGCTTTGACTGACTTGTCAAGCCAGAATGAGTCAGACCATGGTCCTTCCATTTCCACCTCCAGCTTTCTGGATATACACTTTCCCAGGCATCCCTCATGCATGGGTTTCATCATTTGCTTCAGTAAATTGGTAATTCTGTTGTCCATAGCGAATGTCCTAAAGAATATGTGCTCTCTCCCACATTTATGCAAATAATAGC